GGTACAGCTACTGTCGCGAGCCTGGGTCAGCATTACGATAGATTAATATCTCTACAGATCAAACAACTCTCGGACAACTATCACTCAGATACTATACTATCGATGTTACGCACGTCTTTCCAAGCCAGTCTTACATCACGCCTAGAGTACATGCAGCGTACACGTAATGTTGCCAGCCATTTTGACGTGACTGGTGCGAACTGGCGCACGCTCTGACCACTCTCCCCCTCCTGTCTGTACGGCTAAAGAGCCTGACTTCCGGAGAGTAATGTTTGTCAACCGTCGATGTGCCGACAATAAACATGTCTGTCCGTCATGCCTTTCAAAACCGATGGCCTCCCCAAGTAGGGTCTAAGAGTTTTCCGGGAGAAGCATAACTAAAGACCAATTCACAACATGCTTTTTGTAGGGTTTCTGGAAAGTTAACAAGCACGTCGACAAGGACAACAGGTGCAAAATGCCAGATTGTTTCACTTAGAATAGCTTTGGATAGATCATGTTCTCATACGCATGATATCGCTTTCAATGTAGATATAAAAATTGGTAATAACATTCAAAAATGAATGTTAAACTGCTACCAGGTAAAACCGATACGTTTGCAAACAATTTGAACCTTTCAAAAAATCATTAGTAAAGCAGTTTATGATTTTTATTCGTATTCGAATGCTTAACTCTGGCAGCGATGGTTAGAACCAGGGTGCTTCTATAAATTGTGTTTCCAACATTTATCAAGATACCATTGTAGCCATCTTAACTCTCTAAGATATGTTTCAATCAGACCACGATGTAACTGATATATATTAAATCATCTGAAAGAACCGGTACTATCGCGCCATTTCTTAAAATCCCTATTTCCTTTCATACCGAACAGGGCATTTAAGGCAGCACTCGCTTCTGTGGTTCTTAATGCAATTGCAGTTGGATATAACAACATCTGAATACCATTGCTACTTACTTCATTCTGAACGCCAAAGCTTCGGTCTGCCACCTCAAACAGAACGAAGTCAAACGCCATCTTTTCGCTGAGGATGTTGAGGAGGTCGATACTAAGTCCGGCACAACACCGGACCACGGTTCCGTTAAACAGCGTGCTGTCATTCTTACCACTGTAACGAAACAGGTACGTACACTTTTCCATACAGAACAGTTAACACAGATGTCACCATTTAATGAAAATGATAATAAATACAGATTGCTAAATCGTATTGATATACATAATTTGTTTGATTTGCTTTGCTTTTGGGTGGTTTCTTTTCATCGATCATAACATGTGTATGCAACGACATAGTTTTTGCTTTAGAGATATTCTTATATTTCTTAAGTTCAGTTTTCAGAGAGAAAATAAAATAAAAACTACAAAATGATAAATACATCACAATGTGCCAATAATTCATTATTGAACAGTTTTAAAATTTAGATGACAGATTTATGTTTGGAACATTTAAGTGTACGTGATATACATGAAGTCGTTACAAGTAAAACGTGTTTTGTAGCATTATAACAAAGTATTAGAAACAACGATATTTGATGAGAAATCCATTTTGTGTGTAGATATTTACGCACATGTTGTCTGAGGTTTCGCTGATGATAATACATTTGACGACATATGGTCCTGAACTTTTTGAAAACAACTGTGACCTTGGTGCTCGAATATTCCTTTATCCTGTGCGATATCAGTAGCCGAAACCAGTAAACCAGATTCGCGATACCACGAATTTGTTTCCTAATAAAATCCCCGTGATAATCGACTCACTGGATGGTTTCGTTATAGACGAGGCGACATGGGATAGAAGGTGGGCCACAGTCGCCCGTCGAGTTGTCCGGATCCTTATACATGACGTACGGTTGCTCCTCCAGTGTCGCGATCCTAAAGAAGCGCCTTTCCGGTCGACCTTTGGGCGGAAAAGGCATTTTTCCTGGCCACGTAATACCTTGCATCTCTAGCTTCATTTCAATCTTCTTGGTGTATCTGACTTTGGTCACGACTGGGGACCAACGACCGACCTGCAGATAAACATATTTATCAGTCGTATAGACAGATATAAACTGTAGCTGTCAGACAGAGTGTTTCTGTTGTGGTTTAGCGTCCCCACAACAGCCAAGGTTATATGGTGACGAGTGCCTAGGGAGACACTGCCTAATAGAAAGAATATATAGATACCCCGACTGTTTCAATGGGAGCAGAAGATCAAACTTTGACCTTTTCAATTTCCTCTAGAAGGCACAGAAAAAAACCCAAGAAACTTGCAGGTTATCCAACCTTTGTCACCTCATAAAGCATGTAGTTGGACACAGGGTGTCCATTCTTTCCCCGAACCTGCACAGGTTTGATTCAAAGAGGCATATCTAATAGTCATATAGAGGGGCACATAAAACAGCACTACAGACCGACCGGCAGACATGACAGCGATACAGACAGATACGTATAACAGTGATATAATTTTGTTCTAAACAAGTCTACTTTACATGGCAAATAAAACACGCAGCCTCGA